TCTTTCCCTGGGGACAAAAGTTGATTAATTGTTTCATTAACTCCGAAGTTCACGAAGACTCCCTTAGCTCGGCAGTAGCCGTCCTCCATCTTGGAGTTCACTTCAACTTTCGTGTCTTCACAAGACCCCGGGGGCTTTCCACCGCCCCCACGTTCACTTAGCTAGTTCGATCACTTTTCAATACCATTACGTATTTTATTTCTATTTTTGTCTCTGCCATTTCCCTCCAGGGAGCCTTGTTTAACACACACATTTCATACATAACTTTGGTCAATTTATACCATCCAGGCTGCTTACATTTTCATTTTTAAAGCATTTGCCAACCTACTGCTTCAAGCTAAGACATGTCCCAGGCTCTTTGATGTTGCAGAAATCAGAGTTAGCCAAGATTTCTGAAGGCAACTGTTTCCTTTCTGCCCTCAGGTACTGGGCTTTCCCCACAAGAATGCATCCCTGGTAGACACTGCTGCTTGCTGCTCCTAGAAATGAATTTGGAATGTAGAATTGTTTTGCCACCTCGTCTTTCATAATTCGCACCTGTGCCCTTATCTCTATTTGTTTTTCTACACCAACCTCCTGGTACTTGTGGAATCTGTCTGGGGGTGGGTAGTACTTAGGTTTTTGGATCTCTCCTATTTGGCAATTTAAAACTTCCTTGGAGAGGGTCTGGATTTAAGTTTGAGTAATTCAAAAACATTTCATAATCCAGAGTTCTGTTAATTTAGACAGATTTCTTCCCCACCCCGAATTCTGAATGAATGAATATGTTTTGTTGACTTTTAGACATCCAAATCACTATGTTCTTACGGAATGTCTTATTCTGGAGGCCTACTGGATGGAAAGATTGGCTTAAGTTTTGTCTTCAAATTTTCATTTGGTTTGAAATTTGATCCATTCTGACAGCCCCATATTAAAAAAAAAAAAATCTAAAATTTCTTAACCTTAATTCGTTGAGTACATTCTGCCTTCAAGTTAGACTTTTTTAAAAAGAGGGCAATGAGGAGTGATTCTTAGTTTCGTTCAATTAATTCATTACTGCTTTCTCCCTGCTTCAATTTTTTAGTTAGTACTGCTCACAAGAATTGTAACAAACCTTTATTTTTAAAGGCATTCTCTACCCCAATACATATGACCTTCCTTTGCACTTGCCAACACAGTGTATTGCAATGGTCTGTTTTCTGGTCTGCCTCTCCAAATAAAGGAGCTATGGATTCTTTGTCTCCTATATTTTCAGTCCTTTCCTAATACAGTGTCTACTCCATAGTAGATAATCAACAAAGAGTTGAATGAATAATCTCTGAAGTTGCGGGCAGGGAGTGGTATGGTGCAGGCCATATGTCTCCCTTTTCTGAACACATACCTCTTGCTGTTGCACAGATTGTTAGACCATAAGATTAAATCTCGTCTGTGATCCACAGATCAAAACTTGTTGTGGTTTATATTGTTACCCATAATCTAATCCCCACACACAATGAATTCAGCATTGGATTGACCACAAGGTATCCAACTGAACAGTGGATACTTTTTAATCATCTGCTAGGAATCAATTTTAAGCTAGGCACTGTAGAGGTTACAGATGAAAGATAATGGGCCAAGACCATTCCCAGATGCCAAAACTTTATAACCTACTTAATGAAGGAAGTGAAATCACTAGAGTTTTAGCTAAGGCAATATAAAAAGAAAATGGGGTGAATTCCCTGGCAGTCCAGTGGTTAGGGCTCCCCATGTCCACTGCAAGGGGCACAGGTTCGATCCTTGGTCAGGAAACTAAGATCCTGCATGCCCTGTGGCGTGACCAAAAAAAAAAAAAAAAAGTGGGACTAGAAAATATTGATGATCCTGGTGAAAGGAATACTATCAGGGCTAGGGTTACTCAAGGCTTTGAAGATGAGGATTTGCATTGGCCCTTAAGGCATAAGGCTACAGGGTTAACTCTTCAAAGATAACTCTCATGTTTCAGTTTACAGATGAATGCACTGCGTTATCAAGGTCTGAGGCTATTAGTTATTTGAATCACGTATGTGTAAATAATTGTCGTTCAGATTCTGTGCTCTCCAAGAAATCCAATTATTTGACTTCAACTTGAATAGAGCCAGGCAATGCTCTGGCCAGGCCAAGGAGATAGCTGGCTTTCCTGACAATTATATTTCTCTTTGTAAATGAATACTTCTCATTTTCATTGAAGGCTTTAAAAATAGGGCCTTATCAGCATCAAAAATTATCCCTACAGTTGACATTTACCTTAAGAGAAAAGTTTTTCTGCTTACTAAAATGTCTTTAAAATGTAAACCTTTTTTTTTTTTGGCCACCCCTCTCGACTTGTGAGATCATAGTTCCCTGACCAGGTATTGAACCCGGGCCCTGACAGTGAGAGTGCCAAGTCCTAACCACTGGACCACCAGGGAATTCCCTGTAAACCATTTTAAAGTATATAAGGTACAAAGTAAAAATCATCCATACTTCTACTTACTTCATACCCTAATAATAATAAAAATTATTATATAATACTAATAAACCAGGATTAAGAGCTCGGTCTATATATTTGTACACATACCTACCATCAACTCACCTATCAGATTTATTCATCCTTCAGACAAAAGCTGAAGAATCACTATGCCCACAATTTCTGTAGCCATCATACATTTCTTTCTAATGTAGTGAAAGTTTTTTTAGAAGAAAGGCACAAACTGTAAATATGTAGTTTCCTCCTGTTATATTAAAGTCCACGAACAAGTATCCCTACATTTTTGGGCAGAATGATTAAATCCTAGGAAGGGCAACAAGTTCCACTTCATTCCTGGCCCCTGTGCATCCTCTCCTCACCCAGGCCACAGTTTCAACAGTCAGAGCTGTGAGACCTGCTCCTAAAGAAAAGGGGAGTATTCTACAGGCCACAGCTATGTCAAATTGTTCAAGCAGTCTCTCCATATGAATTTTATTTAACCAGTGTTCTAACTGCCTATTCATGTAGGAAACTCTTTATCTTTTTTAGTGCACTTTGTGCCATACTTGGAATAATTGTAGACATTTAAGCCCAAGAGTTTTCCTGATAACCTTAGCCTTAACAAGTGTTTAGGGCTTAGAGACCTACAAGTGTGATAGAGGTGGAAGGCTGAAGCCCACGGTGCTAGCACAAGGCAAGCATGACATTCCAGGACCACCTGAAACCCCAAGCAACTCGCACCATCTCTGGGAAACCAGAGATGGGCGAGGTTCTTCAATCATTACTGAAAAGAGCTTTGAAAGTTTCACTTGTTAGAAAGCTCTGCTTATTCTAATTCCTTAGCTGAATTAGCCAAATTAAACGCATGGCAGAGAAACTCGAATTATGCTTTGAGCTATGGTTTCTCCACCAAAGGGAATATCCTAAAAAATTTCAGATATTATTAGTATTCCACTGTGTATAAAAGCTGAAGTTTTGATCAAAGAGTGCTGTTTGGAGAGCAATGCACATAATACTCACTCTTTTGCCAGCTCCATTGATATTTGTTCCAAAGAGCATCCCTTTGTTTCGGGTATAAACACAACAACAAAAACCAGAGATGCTAGACTCATAATTGTATATATAAAGCACACACATGGCAGGCCAATGAGATCTAGAGAGGACAAAAGAAATTGGTTAGAGATGCATTTTGTGTTGCTTTCATCCCATTTGTGGACAGCTGCTTCTTAGAGCATATATGAAAACATATGTATTTTCAAACATGCTGGTAGTATCCAGGGAAATAGCAATCACAAATTAAAAATATAGCCAGCCGGGCTTCCCTGGTGGCGCAGTGGTTGAGAGTCAGCCTGCCGATACAGAGGACACGGGTTCGTGCCCCGGTCCGGGAAGATCCCACATGCCGCGGAGCGGCTGGGCCCGTGAGCCGTGGCCGCTGAGCCTGCGCGTCCGGAGCCTGTGCTCAACGGGAGAGGCCACAACAGTGAGAGGTCCGCGTACCGCAAAAAAAAAAATATATATATATATAGCCAGCCTCTGAAAGTTTCATTTTCACAAACAACCCCAGCTTTCTCTGGTAAAGTGAATAATAGTCTTGTAAATATCACAATTTAAACCCAATGCCATCTTCTTGGTGAACATAATACTTTTCGTTTTCAAAATGGTAATAGAAATGCTCATTGCCAAAAAAAAAAAAAAAAAACCTCAACACAGAAACACATAAAACAGAAGGTAAACTATCTCCTCTCTCCTCACCCTCTACAATTCCTCTCTTGGGAATCCCCGCCATAGCAGTTTGGTTTCTACTTGGTAGACATTTTTAAAGACATATTTATACAGATGGACTCTTCTTGGAGTGAGATCCTCCTTCTTTACTCTGATTTGAATAAATCGTTTCATGTTGGCAATATTTCATCATTTTAGTAGCTGGCAGTATCTGTAATACTGCTTCCTGGATTCAGAGAAAAAAAGTGATAATGGTTTGAATGAAAGGCATTGACTTGCTAAGATGCATCAGCAAGAAGCAGGACCCTCCAGGTTTTGATGGATCTCACCCGCCAACCTAGTTTTCCCTCTGAGCACTTCTAGCCAGAGGTAGAGTCCCTTTGTAGTACTGACCAAGGTCAAGGTATGTTAGCTGGTGAGAGGTGGCCCCTAATGCACTTGAGTCTACCCTTGCACTGCGGCACCCCGGGCTCAGCAGAAAGTCCAGTGTGGCCAGGAGCAGGGAGAAAGAGGCTGGATTTTTTTGAACACAGGCTCAGACCAGCCACAGACTGAAACAATGCAAACAGCCCTTAGCGGCCACAAATCACAAGTGGTCAGTCAGGAACATTGACTGAGCAGTTATGTGGAAGGCATTTGGTAATGCAAAGTGGAAGGAGCTATGCATATTAACCGTTTATAGGTCAGCTGTGCTGAGGTGGGGAGAAGCAGGGAGAAGGAACAGCTCTGCAGTCCTTCTGGCAATTTTAGTTGAAGTCCGCTCCCTCTGTGCTTTTCTTGCTGCTAACACGGGGTTTTGTCCAAGAGAGTGCTTAATAAAGTGCTTGGAGAATTGGTCCTTCTTTCCTCTCTGGGGCATAAAACCAGAGAATAAAAAGTGGAAAAAAAAAAAAAAAAAACCCAAAACGTCATCTCAGCAAACTTATCTGCTCTTCTGTTTGAGTACTTTCAGTAACAAGGAGCTCATCACTTATCAAAAATGCAAACTACGTTGTGAGTCAGCCCTGTCTGTTTCAAACATATTCCTCACTCCTTCCTAAGCCCAAGTCTACCTTCTGGGAACTTGGGTTCAGAGGTTCTGTTTTGTCCTCTGGATCAGCCTTCCTCACCCCTTCTTCACGGAAGTGGCGCAAATATTTGAATGCACCTCCATCCCTTGCTGAGCATCCTCTTGTCCGAGTCAAACTCCCAAGCTCTTGCAACCGTTCTTCACAGACCATAGGTCACCTGCTCATGTTATCCAGGTTGCCCTCCCTTGGTGGGCACACTGCAACCCTCATCAAATATTTTACTCAGGGCTTCCCTGGTGGCGCAGTGGTTGAGAGTCCGCCTGCCGATGCAGGAGACGCGGGTTCGTGCTCCGGTCCGGGAGGATCCCACATGCCGCGGAGCGGCTGGGCCCGTGAGCCATGGCCCCTGAGCCTGCGCGTCCGGAGCCTGTGCTCCGCAACGGGAGAGGCCACAACAGTGAGAGGCCCGCGTACCGCAAAAAAAAAAAAAAAAAAAATTTTACTCAGAGCTGAGAGCAATACTGCAGCTGTATTATGAGCACAGCAGAGTATGTCTGTGTCTCTGGTACACTCTGTTCTTATTGATACAGCTGAAATTGCGCTAAAAGTTGGTGTCCAAGGGCTTGCCACCAAGCAGAACCCTTATATCTTTTACTTGGAAAATTGATTTTTGAAAAGAAGTATAGAATTTCAAACTTAGTCCAATGAAATGTCATTTACAGGATTGAGCTCATTCCAGAATTTTTCTTTTAATGAGTATGCTTTCCCAACATCTGTTCTAAGAGCCCATGCAGAACTTCTGAATCTTCATCAAGCTCCTCCTATGTATTAGCTATCCTTCCCAGAAATTCGTGTCATCTTTATTCATCCTTCATCATTTCCATTCTTTCTTTTATATTTCTCTTTCTCCATATAAACAGTAGGTAAGTGTGTGTGTTGTGTGTGTGCGAGAAGGTGAAGGGCACGGGTCTATGTGTGTGATCTGAGCAGGAGACGTACAGTTGATGCAAATGACCAGTTCCTGTGTTTCCTTTCATCTTGGGCTATTTCCAAAAATGTAGGACATAAATATTTTAAAATTTTATGTAAAAACCCAAACTGTGCTTAATTAACAACTCTAAAAGTTCATTTCCAAAAGTAGATATACTCCAAAAAAAGTCAACAAGATTCATAAGTACTACATATACATATATACTTTTTTGACTATACATCCACTTTTGAAATGGTATCAATATATATTATCTCTGTATTATAGATACTATTTAATATTTATGCATTATATAAATACATATAAAATAAAGGAAGGGACGAAAACTCAACTCATTGGTCAGTTTTGGAGGATGCTGGGGAATTACCTCATTATTTTGAAAAGTAGGAAATAAGAGAAAGTTTCAAACATTAATCTTGGCTTTCTTATATGATTCATACTTCAGGGCAGGCAGATAACTAATGAGAAGAAATTTCTCCTTAAGAGAAGTGTTGCTGATAAAAAACTTAGTAGGAATAATGAAATGAAGATAACGGATCTGGGAAATGATCCTCAAAGGATGCAGGCATGACAAAGTGGGAGACAAGCACAGAGGACGTGCCTCTGATGGCAGGACACAGACCATCACCTGGGAAGGAGTTTGCAAATAGACAAGAAAATCTAAATCTTTTTCAGCCTCTACATCTAAATAGCAGTTCACAGGAAACACAAAGGACAGAGGGTCACGTGATGTGACTACAATCAGCAAATCCAACCCCGGGGAAAACTCTATGAAACAAACGACCCAGTTTCTTCACTAAAAGTATAAAGTGTAGGGGGAGGAGAAATGGAGGTGAAACCTACAGATTATGAGACATATCAATCAACCGTAAATTAAGTATTTGGATTGTGATTCAAACAAAGTATAAAAAATAATTATAAGACAATTGGAAGGATGTGAACACAGACTGGATACTTGATACCAAGAGACTATTAATAGTATAATATTTTTAGGTGTGATAACAAAATGAGACAAAGAGTGAGAGTGTGAGACAAAATGACATGTTTGGACAATGGCTCCAAATAATTTGGGGGGCAGAGCAGGTGGGGTCATAAATGAAGACTGATAAACTTTTAAATTGGGTGGTCAGTACATCAGGTTCACTGCCGTTCTCTTTACTTTTGAGTGTGTTTGAAAATGTTGACGAGAAGATGTTTTTCAGGCGAGTGTGCTTCCCTAAGATCTGTCCTAAGAGCACAAAAGGCGTTAGAGGAAAGAGAGTTCTTACCTGTCACAGTCAAAAAGGTCAGAGAGATGAGGAGATTGATGCCCCAGTTCATGCTAGAAGTTAGAGCCATGGCTCGTCCTCGAATTCCACCAGGAAAAATCTCACTCAGCACCAGCCAGGGCACTGGAAGACAAGGAAGAGTGGGTGGGGCACAGCAAAATGATCAAAAAGCCATTGACGCTGAGGGCCAGCCCACTGACCTCTGCCCTAGTCCCACGTGATCTGTGGTTGGAGAGCAGGGCCATGTCCTTTCACAGGACAGGGAGGAGAGAGTGTGCTTTCTCCTCACCTCCAGTCAAGTGAGAAGGGATTCAGGAGAAACACTGAGAGAGCTTAACAGTGGTCCCTGGAAGTAGAGGGACGGACATAAAGGGCTGGTAGGGGACACTGGCCTGAGAACTGCAAACAGAAAGGCCAGTGGCTAGGGCCACCTGCCCACGACAAGGGGCAGCTGTGAGCCTCAGTGCCAGAGCCCGGCTCTATCTGCTTTCCTCCGGGCCCTTTCCTGTAAACTCCTCTGCCCCCGACCTTTGCCAAGTCCAACATCATAGCCACTGAGTGGGTAGGAGGTAGAGTCAGGAGGGTGGAGGAAGGAGGCTGGCTCCTCTTCCCTCCCCAACTTGGGCTTCCTGGCCTGTGGCAAGCTGGGTGGAGAGAAGCTCTCAATTAGACAGAGCTCCAGGATTCGATGTTATGCCAGACCAAACATTTGACTTTCTGAAAGGAGACTCTTCTTGGCACGAAAACTGATCAGAGGACTTTTTATGATCTGAGAGTGACACAGAACATTATAGGACCTGCCTGACGGGATTAGAAAGGGCAGCAGAGGAGCAAATTAACTTGTCTTCTGCTCACAGCCTATCAAATCCAGTTTGCCGAATAGCTACCAGTTCTTCCAATGGGCTGAGACCTTTACAAACCTTATCTCATTTGATCCTCGCTGAATTCCTACCAGATAGGAACTATATTGCTCTCCCTCCTTTATAGACGAGGAAGTGGAGGCTCAAAGGAGTTCATAATTTGCCAAGGTCCCAGAGGTGGCAGCAGAGGTAGCGTTGAGCCTGGGAAGTCTCTGGAACTCATGCTTTTTCATCTTGGTGCTCTCTTGGGGGTGGCTCAATAAATATTCGTTAATGAATACATAAATGTGGAGTATCAGCACCTCTGATTCTGAGGAAAGAAGGGCTTAGGAGCTGTCCCAGCCCTGCTCCCTGCTGGCTGAGTCACATTGTGTTGCAAAGCCGGCGTTCAGATACAGACCAGATGCATCCTCTTGCCCGAGAGGAGGCGGTGTGAGGGAAGAAGCAGAGGCCAGGGAGCGGCCCCCCGCCAGCAACCACCTGGGCTGCCAGTGCCAGAATCATGGAGCAGTCACCTGTGTCTCTGATTGAAAAGTCACCTCTCACGACAAGATCATGCTCTGTAGAGAAAACACCTGCTCGGAGTAAATGTGCTGTTTTAAACTAAGAAGAATACTTAAATTATACAAGAGGGCTGGAGGGCTTTTTTTTCTTGATTATCTTCTCCAAGTGAATCTACGTAGGGCTTGGGCGAGAACTGTAACCAAAGGAACATGATTATTATTGTTCTAATTAATAGGGAATTCAAAAATAACATTCCAGATCCCTCCCCTCCACTC